ATTAACTTGCACCAGAATGATGGGAAGAGAAAAGTACGGAGCAGGAAAGGAACAGCTCATGATCCAAAGCATACCACATCATCTGTGAAACATGGCGGAGGCAGCGTTATGGCATGGGCATGTATGGCTGGCAGTGGAATCGGGTTACTGGTGTTTCTTGATGACCTGACTGCTAATAAAAGCAGCAGGATGAATTCTGAAGTGTACAGGGCTATACTTCCTGCTCAGAGTCAGCCAAATGCTGCCAAACTGATAGGACGCTGTTTCATATTGCAGATGGATGATAACCCAAAACATACAGCAAAAGCTACCCAAGAGTTTCTCAAGGCAAAGAAGTGGGATGTTCTTCAATGGCCAAGTCAGTCACCTGATCTCAACCCAATAGAGTATGCTTTTCACTTACTGAAGTCAAGGCTGAAGGCAGAAAGACCCACAAGCAAGCAGCAGCTGAAGGCAGCTGCAGTAAAGGCCTGGCAAAGCATCTCGAGGGAGGAAACTCAGCATTTGGTCATGTCCATGGGTTCCAGACTTCAGGCAGTCATTGACTGCAAAGGATTTTCATCCAGGTATTAAAGATGATCCATCTCGAGGGAGGAAACTCAGCATTTGGTCATGTCCATGGGTTCCAGACTTCAGGCAGTCATTGACTGCAAAGGATTTTCATCCAGGTATTAAAGATGATCCTTACGTTTGTAATGATGTTGGTTTGCTCCGTTACTTATGAGCCACCAATGATGAGGGCGTGTCTATGCCACTGGCTGTACTTCCTGAATGGTTAGTGCCCCACTTTTGTCAAACCCCTTGGATTACACCCCCCTGATTTCGCTCCCATCTGGGTGTGTTTCCTTTCAACTTCAGTGTGGTGGTGTACAGAGGCCAAATGCCAAAACAGTTCTCCTTGTTCCAACATTTCTGGTCCTGACTGTACCTTCTCCAAGCAGATGGGGGAATAATTATACAAAAGTAAAAGATTTGCTGTGTTAAGGAAAAAAAGCAAGAATTGGCAGACCATAGAGAGGCAGAACACCAACCCTAGCTGATGAGGAATGCTGTCACTTTGGTTTAGCTACATTTCAAGAACCAGACATTTCCTATTCCTGCTGTATCCTGGTGAACTTGTAAACGCTTTTGAGAGTTAAATGCAACATTAGTGCAACCAGCCAATCAACGTTGCTCCCAAAGGCAAACTCAGTTCAGGTCTCATTTGGCAAGTTTGTGTACTTAAGTGGATTCTCCATATTTACTTTCAAATATGCATTTATAAATAATGTAAAAAAACAACAACCCATGTCTTTGCAGCAGTGGTTTTCAAATTATGTTTTGTAGAATCTTCACGGAGAATATTTTTGGCATACCGGATTTCCTGAAATAGGGTTTGCCTTAACACAACCAGGTTGCAGAGGGGGGTGGCTGCGTCCTTGAATCTGTACTTTATTATTATCCAGATTAAACTGAATGCATATTCTGGCCTGCCCATCTACTACCTCCACCGTCACACATAGATGCTTAAGACCTCATTAGCTAGCTGATGAGACAATTATTCTAAAGAAAGGGTTTTTTTGGGAGGTTCTTTTTTAAAAAAAGATGAGCTTTTAGAATAGGAACATTGATAGCGCAATTGTGCAGGGTTGTTAAATTTTTGGTGGGGAAAAGATTTGATTTGTTCTGATGATAGAGTAGCTGTCTTTAACAGGTATGATTTCTTTTATTATTTGTTCTAGAGTTGAGAGTCACAGGAAAACTGCTGTGATGAAGACAGAAAAGAAAAAGCATCTTCCACCAGAAAAGAGGAAGGCGGAACAGAAAAAGAAATCAAAGCGTCCAGAGCCACAAATGAAGCAAGAGACAGATGAACCTGAGCTGAAAAGACATAAACTAAAGGTAAGTAAGTAGGTATGAGTTCTTTGAACTTACAGGTATTTTCAGCTGCAGATGTAAATCCTCCTGGTTCGGAAATATAGGCATGCCAACATTTTATAATTTTTAGAATGCATTGGGATTATTGACACGCCATCTATGTTTTTTCCGTTTTCTAATCTGAATGAAGAGAAGCTGAAATGTAAAGTGGACTGGGGGCCCTGTTAGCAGCACTGAGGTGCTAAGAGAACTTGTAGATTAGCCTTAAACTTGTAAACAGGACCCCAGCTCTGACTTTAATATCTTTCTTAGCTATCTGCAAAACTCATGCACATCGTGTTTTACAGTTAGGTGAAAGAAGAGCAAACCAGACATCTTAAGAATATTATTATTATCTCTTACAGTATCTAATTTGTTCTATGCCTAAAGAGACTTTGTCTAGCAATCATTTAACAACATACAGTAGAAATAAATAGATGTATGTGTATTTAGGATATACATACGCCCACAATTTGTTAAAGATGTCTGTGTACAAATGAAATATTTGACCATCTCTGTGTGCATTCAAGTAAAACAAATGTGAGTAAGTTTGGTTGGCTATGTTGCTTAATGTAATTATGCACATTTACTTGGCATCTGTGTTACTAAAAGTTACACCTGAGATCACAGCTTTGTAATTTGCTCACTCTGGACTATTGGAGCATCTCACGCTTGCAGAACGCAAACGGAATATTTACATTTAAGTGTTCTTTGGCCATCTCATTTTCTGCATATTTGCTATGAACCTTTGTGTTATCCCAAGGTGGTATAATATTCATACAGTTTCTAGAACTTTTTTTTCCTCCGTGTGTTAAAAATGCGGCTTACAAAGCAGTCATCCGATGTACTTAGTCCCACAATCTGGCTTTTGTTAGCAGGACCTGGTTGACCAGTTCTGACTCTCCTGCTGGGACAAGAGGAAATGCTTGATATCCCCCCTGCTTCCTAGCCCCATAGGGACTGGGCTGTGCCTTTGCTGAGTAGAGGGAAAGAAGAGCTTGTGTGAATTTATGGCACATTGTTTGTTGCAAGTTCATGTGCGATAGAGTGGTAACACAGAGCTTTGAAAACTTCCAGGATATAGCAACTAAAGTGTGTGATCAGTTAAAAGGATGGATGTGTAACTGGACTTCTTGTCTCCTTATGGGAGAAGTGTTGTGCCTTGGTTTCTCTAAAGAATGTTCTTGCTAGATGGGCAGAAAACCAACGTTCTTGTTAATTTTGAAGCTAGGAGGTGATTTGGTCTATGTTTCTCTTGTTAATGTGGGAAGGGGTTTCAAGGATTTGTTGTTGTGTTTAGCTGAAAGTTGCGCAGCTGGGCCTGACTGAGAACTTTCACTAAAGTGCAGAATTCAAAATTGTCATGGATTTGGCGCAAAGCTGCATGAAAGCAAGATGAAATGTTTTGTGAGGAATGTTGACCATACGGCCTGTTAGCATAAAACTTTATGGTTTTAAGTTTCTCATTTTTTCTCTTCAACTCAGGATTTTGTCACTCCTGGCATTGACTAGGCATAATATTAATCTAATGAGCTGAGACTTGCTGACCAGTTTCAAACCAGAAGCCTTGTCTATTCAGAACTTCAGCTGTCTGCTGTCTGTAATGCTCAAAAATCATTATGGCTATTTGGAAAGCAAGAATTCCATGTAGGATTATCATGTCAAATATTGGCACCTATATAAGTTTTCTAAATAAATAAATAAAATTACCTCTCATATTGTGAGGTCAAGGCAATTGAGTGTGAGCATTGTGGTAGTTAGTGAGAAAGATCTTAAAATTTGTAATTGCTGATGGGTTTTTTGGGAGATAGATTCCAAAAAAGATTGATGTTTGGCTAAAACTTGTTATTCAAAGCTGTCCTGTTTGTTGTGAACACTTGCTTGCTTTTCAATATTTTGGCATCTGTAGGCTCGGTACTGTTCTCTGTCTCCTGTCAGCAACTGTTCAGGCTTTATCATGAGTATACTCTACCTGGAACTGCTGACAAACACTAAATTGGCCCAATTTCTTAAGAAGGGCAGCTAAATACAATGGTTTGGGAATTAGAGTCAGTTATTGCTTTGCTATGTTGCCTACTTAAGTGATCTGAGAAATTGAGATGTTTAAGGAAAAAAGCCTTGCGTCCTTTTGCGCCAGCAGAGCAAGATTGAATAACCTCATTTTCTATAACTTAATGTAGCTGGATTTGCAATGTTGCAGTGACTTTCTTAAAAAGTCAGCTTTTTGTGTTACTCTAATCGTTCTCTCCCTCCCTAAACACCTTTGGTTGTTGAACAATTAGGCCATCCACTGTATTAGACCTTCTCTCAAATTAGACTACTGATAATATTAGATCTTCTTTTAATACCACCTATCTTGCCATCACTGAAGCAATGAGCATGAAACTGAGCAAACTCCGGGAGGCAGTGAAGGACAGGAAGGCCTGGCGCGATATGGTTCATGGGGTCATGAAGAGTCGGACACGACTTAATGACTGAACAACAACAAAAATTTTGCCATGAGTGTATGGGTTTTGGCCAGTTGTTTTTTATTAGGGCATTTTTAGCAAAGAGAACTAATAGATCATTGCTCACGATTTTTGTGGGACTTTCCTCGAACCTCACATGATTCCTCACCCTTAGAATTATTGGTTATCATTTCTATCTTGATTTTGCAGGGCCCAGCTGTTCTCAAGGCAGCGTCACTGGCCACAGTCGGCCAAGTGTTGTGTGAACTCGTCCTGGATGGCAGCCCTACTCTTTGCATCAAGCAAGAGAGGAGAGGCCAAAGCCTGTGAAAAGAAAGAGTTGGAATAGCTGCACCTCTTTCATTTGTAGTCTTAAAGGTAGAGAATGAATCTCTAGAGCAGTGTTTCTCAACCTTGGCCACTTGAAGATGCGTGGACTTCAACTCCCAGAA